TAAGTGTAAGACGCCCAAAAAGGTCATTTTAGGAAATGCAATAATTACCAATAGGTACTAACGGAATTAATACTCTGTATACTGGCGGACCGATTTCGTGCAATTACTTCGACTGGAAGGCCATTTTCTCTTAATACGAGATAGTTGCCTAATATGAGATGGTTATTTATTATTAAAATATAAATTATTCTCGCAGCTATAGTGAAGTTCACCCTCCGCGGGGTCAACGCGTTCGAGAATTATGGGCATTTGAACATCCGATTTTGAGGTTAATAATTATTTGAACGCGGGGGGTTATTTCGGACCTCCGTCCGACCTACGGAGTGAATTTTTATTAAAAAATTCCGAGCTCGAGGGAATTGTTATAATTCAGTCGTAAGGATACTTTTGGTCCGTCGGGTGTATTGAGTAAATGTCGAGAATATGGCGGAGTAAGTTCGTCATGTGACTTTGCCGCGAAATTTCGAGTTTTGTGAATTTTCTCGCGTTCGTATTCCGGCGCGCTTAAGTCGAGCAATATGGCCGACCACTTGGTCAGGGTGCCATTACATGGAGCGCGGAAACGCGGAAACACGGAAACGCGGAAGAGAATAGCAACTAGAAAAATAACTATTCCGCGTTTCCGCGAATTGAGTCGTTTCTTTCCGCACATTTGAGCGGAATCCGTTACCGTGTGTGCACGTGGACTCAAGTGTATAATAGAAAATAAAAACTTTCTAAATGGATGTAAGTATTTGAATGCTTTTTAGTACTCAGTAAACATATATTAGCTTATTTTTGGAGAAAAGTTTCTGTAATTTACACACTTCTTTTGATATGTAGATATAGAATTAACACGTAAATGTAACCTAACTTTAGGTTATGTACTGCTTTTTGTAAAAATAATAATGAAATAACGAAAAAAACAATATTAAATTTGAACAGAATAACAAATTAGTAACACCTATTGCAAAGTCATAATCTCACTTTAGGTGAAATAAAGATAATTAAACGATTGTATTTGTTCACAGGCAACAAAGTGTGGCTATTGCGGCTTCATTTTAAGGGGGTCATGTGAAACACTTTTGGACCACGATTGTTTCAAGAAATATAATGAAACTGAAGATGTCATAAATGTTGACAGCAATGCTGTGGTCACTATGAGTACGTATAGTACGTCAGAACAGTCAATTGAGTCATTTCGCGATCATTTAAGTTGTTTATTTATTTATGTTAAAGTAAAGAGACATCAAACTGAAAGTGTTGTGCAACATGAAGGAGCTTCACAATCTGCTACACAATCGGTACTGACACAAAACGAGTTACTAATTGAACTGGTGCGAACTCGAAGAGCTTTATGGGATCATTCAATTCCAATAACCGAAAGGACAAGATTAAAAAAAGAAAGTTTATGGCAAGAAATAAGATACTTCATAATAATCATCAACATGATGTTTGGATCCATGATATTGTACTTGATATTATATTGTCACTTTTAAAATAATAAAACAATTTAAATATATAAAAACTTTCTTCTTCAATCGACTCCGACTCCAAAATTTGATGCTGTGTCTACATTGACAATGATTTGACGCGTTCCGTTCCGTCTGTTTTGATTGCCCCTTATATTACATGGAGCACTATTTGCACGGAAAAGCGGAACGGTATAGTGACAAATGGATGTTTTTATTT